GAGTCTGGGTCTAGAGGTACCTTAACATGGATGGATTTTGACAAACTTATCTTGTTGGATAGCGGATGAATAGGCCAACATGCTGACAAATCGGCAAGGCTTCAGACTTGAAACTTTTGGAGTGAGCCCCAGATGAGGTACATGATGCCCCCAGTTTCGTTTTTGTGCAGTAAGTCCCATAGCAAGGGCTGTCAGCGCCAGCCGACATGGCTCTCATGAGTCTGGGTCTAGAGGTACCTTAACATGGATGGATTTTGACAAACTTTATCTTGTTGGATAGCGGATGAATAGGCCAACATGCTGACAAATCGGCAAGGCTTCAGACTTGAAACTTTTGGAGTGAGCCCCAGATGTAGGTACATGATGCCCCCAGTTTCGTTTTTGTGCAGTAAGTCCCATAGCAAGGGCTGTCAGCGCCAGCCGACATGGCTCTCATGAGTCTGGGTCTAGAGGTACCTTAACATGGATGGATTTTGACAAACTTTAGCTTGTTGGATAGCGGATGAATAGGCCAACATGCTGACAAATCGGCAAGGCTTCAGACTTGAAACTTTTGGAGTGAGCCCCAGATGTAGGTACATGATGCCCCCAGTTTCGTTTTGTGCAGTAAGTCCCATAGCAAGGGCTGTCAGCGCCAGCCGACATGGCTCTCATGAGTCTGGGTCTAGAGGTACCTTAACATGGATGGATTTTGACAAACTTTACCTTGTTGGATAGCGGATGAATAGGCCAACATGCTGACAAATCGGCAAGGCTTCAGACTTGAAACTTTTGAGTGAGCCCCAGATGTAGGTACATGATGCCCCCAGTTTCGTTTTTGTGCAGTAAGTCCCATAGCAAGGGCTGTCAGCGCCAGCCGACATGGCTCTCATGAGTCTGGTCTAGAGGTACCTTAACATGGATGGATTTTGACAAACTTTATCTTGTTGGATAGCGGATGAATAGGCCAACATGCTGACAAATCGGCAAGGCTTCAGACTTGAAACTTTTGGAGTGAGCCCAGATGTAGGTACATGATGCCCCAGTTTCGTTTTTGTGCAGTAAGTCCCATAGCAAGGGCTGTCAGCGCCAGCCGACATGGCTCTCATGAGTCTGGGTCTAGAGGTACCTTAACATGGATGGATTTTGACAAACTTTATCTTGTTGGATAGCGGATGAATAGGCCAACATGCTGACAAATCGGCAAGGCTTCAGACTTGAAACTTTTGGAGTGAGCCCCAGATGTAGGTACATGATGCCCCAGTTTCGTTTTTGTGCAGTAAGTCCCATAGCAAGGGCTGTCAGCGCCAGCCGACATGGCTCTCATGAGTCTGGGTCTAGAGGTACCTTAACATGGATGGATTTTGACAAACTTTATCTTGTTGGATAGCGGATGAATAGGCCAACATGCTGACAAATCGGCAAGGCGTCAGACTTGAAACTTTTGGAGTGAGCCCCAGATGTAGGTACATGATGCCCCCAGTTTCGTTTTTGTGCAGTAAGTCCATAGCAAGGGCTGTCAGCGCCAGCCGACATGGCTCTCATGAGTCTGGGTCTAGAGGTACCTTAACATGGATGGATTTTGACAAACTTTACCTTGTTGGATAGCGGATGAATAGGCCAACATGCTGACAAATCGGCAAGGCTTCAGACTTGAAACTTTTGGAGTGAGCCCCAGTGTAGGTACATGATGCCCCCAGTTTCGTTTTTGTGCAGTAAGTCCCATAGCAAGGGCTGTCAGCGCCAGCCGACATGGCTCC